AATGTTTTCTGAGTTAGCGGTGTTGAAGTGTACACGTCACGTAGGCTAATGTTAGGCTAGATTTAACACCCATTCAATGCGGTGGTTAGTCATATCCTCAGTTTATAACACGTGACGTACAGCGATTCTCAATTTCTTCATTGCTAATGGTGACCGCGCCGCAATAGAAAAGCTCAGGAACTAGCCCCGCGTGATAAAAACCACTCCAGATCCACTTAGCTAGGCTTCTACGCTCACCGCCGCGACTCGATGCATCAAAACGACGCAGCACCAGGGCCAGCTATTGTTTTGCAGTCGACCTGCGCATTTACTGCTACCAAGGCCCGAGCGGAGCGTCACTTTGACGTGCAGGCCGCTGCCGAGCCGAGCGCGACTCCCGTCACCGGGCGTCCGCCACCGGTGACACGTGACCCCGCACCACTCTGGCCGTCTGCGACGCCTCTGAGTGAGCCGTTAAGTGAGTCGCCGGGACGGCTCGCCCGGGACTGTATTCTACGGTCGGCTCCGGTCCGAGGTGCTCGCGGAGCGCATCCGGGAGGCAGGCATGAGGTGCCTCTGTGTTCTCCTCGCGCTGGGCGTCCTTACAGCCACCATGACGGGTGAGTGGGATTTGCTGTGCGGCTCTGGTGATCTTGGAACACACTTGCCAGTCGCAGTAACGGATTTATCCATATGCATCTGATCATGAGATAAGAACGCTCGATGAGATGGCGCCACTGTGCCAGCTCATGTTACTCCGTCGGCGATGAGCATATTCCGCACAACAGTTTGATGTGGTCTTGCCTTGCTGCAATAAGTGTCCTTCGACCAACAAACACTTCAACGTTGCCACCCGGGTGCCCCATGACATGACAGCAAATTCACAAGCGGCTTATTGCAACAATGTGCTTCATAGAAGCACTGATTCGAAACGTTTTACAAGCCCCATATACCGACCAAGCACGTTCCATAAGCGCCGCTCTCTTTCCGATCTGACCGCGTATCTCGCCCTTCCCCCTCTAGAAGCGATCCTCTGGCCCCGATGCGGTCCATATCGCCGCTGTCCCATCTTCAAGCCGCAATGCTGCCGGCTGCCCTGGAGCCACCACTGCAATCTGCACGCCGCTGTGCTTTCACGCCGTGCCAGCTGAGGGGCTGAGCGGACGGGCCGAGCTCGCGGGCCGCCCCACCGCCCGGCGGTCCGGCGCCGCGCCCACACCGCCGGCGGTCCGGCGCCGCGCCCCCGGCCGGCGGTCCGGCCCCGCGCTTCCCAGGGCTGTGGACGGTCGCGACGCCCAGCCAGGCCACAAGCGGAGGGAAGGTTGCACAGTGTATTCGTCCGGCGCACCGTTAAAACGCACTGTTTGGATTTTGTATCTCTTGTTTGTATAGATGGTAACCGCATAGTATCCGGATCGCGAAAGGACGATGCCTCGCAGCGGGACAACCAGGCGCCCACCCGCTGCGAACACGAGGGGTGCGGTAGTCGCAGAAGTTTGCTGGGATACCGGCATCGCTACGACGAACCAGCAAAAGAGAAATAAAGCTGCGGCCACAGTCGGAGCAGTGGCGCTGAGAGGCCTCCTTCAGTCTGGCAGATGTCAGCGTTGGCATGGCCTGAGAAACCTCTGCACTATTTATCCACGATGGTTGTAACATTGCCAGTCTTCTGCTGGCCCGCAGCGGCTCCGACCGGCCCTCGACGCTCCTCCTCGACTGTGTCGGCTTAGACACCGCCACTCCGGCGCCCGCATAGCCAACTCTTCACCGCGGAAAAACAGAACCAATGGAAAACCGAACTGCAGCGCCCAAACATCGCGGCATCTCGACAGGCGCCGCTCAAAGCCAGACACAAAGAGCGCAACAGGACTCCTTAGATCCCGGCCTAAACAGTCCCACGGTAGGCTGACAGGAGATCACCCGCACGTCACCGCACACAGCCAGGCTCAACGAAACCGGGGCGGATCGGCCAGCTCCTATCGAAAAAATAACGCAAAAAACCGCCTACTTGAGCGGGCACTGACGACCATATGATGATACTAGTCTATTAGAGCGACATGGAGTTCGTGACACTACTATGATACTAGCCTATCAGAGTCACATGGAGTTTGTGACACTACTATGATACCAGGGTAATAGAGCGACACAGAGTTTGTAACAGGGGCTCAATCACGCAGGGTCCAACGCTGGGCGCCAACTCCCCGCGGAGGAGCCGTCGGCAAAACGATCACGATGCCCGCCGTTTGATGCTGCACTTGCCCCTCTGCAGGTGCGAAAGGTAGATGCGGGCTTTGCTGTTGTCAGCTGTTTTTCGCACCCAGACTGTAAACGAAGACGACTCCATATGGTGGCGCGGCGGCACCGAGCAATTCACGCGCATGGCC